TTAATGTGGTATACCATATTTATTGATTTGTGAATGATGGACCATCTTTGCATCTAAAGGATAAACCCTAATTGAACAAGGTATATGACCTTTTTAATGTGCTATTGAATTCAGTTTTCTTATAATTTGTTGAGTATTTTTGCATGTATGTTTATCAGAGAAATTGGCCTGCAATTTTCTTTTCTTGTAATGTCCTTGTCTAGCTCTGGTATCAGGATAACGCTTGTCTCATAAAATGAGTTTGGAAATGTTCCATCTTTTTCCCCTTGTTACAAGCCCTATCTCCTTTCCCTTCCCCTGTCCGCCCCCACTGATTGTGTTGACTGTATTCCCCATACTGTACTTCATATCTCAGTGACTCCCCTGTAACTGCCAATTTGTAATTCTTAATCCCTTCTCCATTCTCACCCAAAGCCTAACTAACCACTCTCACATCTTGTAACCAATCTGTTCTCTGTATCTATGGGTCTGTTTCTGTTTTGTTTGCTAATTTACACTGTTATTTAGATTACACATATAAGTAAGATCATATGGTATTTGTCTTTCCCAGTCTGACTTTTTCACTTAGCATAATATCCTCTAAGTTCATCCATATTGTCTCACTGGTAAAATTTAATTCTTTTTAATGGAGCAACACTCCATTCTATAAATGTACCACAGTTTCTTTATCCAATCACATATTGATGGGCATTTCGGTTGCTTCCATACCTTGGCTATTATAAATACTGCTGCAGTGACAATAGGGGTGCATATATCTTTTCAAATTACTGTTTTGGATTTCTTTGGATAAATACCTAAGAGTGGAATTGCTGGGTCATAAAGTAGTTCCATTTCCAGTTTTTTGAGGAACCTACATACTGTTTTCTATAGTGGCTGCACCAATTTGTAATCCCACCAACAGTGCACAAAGGTTCTCTTTTCCCCACATACTTGTCAACACTCACTGTTTGTTGATTTATTGATGATAGCCATTCTGACAAGTATGAGGTGATAGCTTATTGGGGTTTAATATTTCCCTATAATTTGACTTTGTGTTCCATACCAAGTTGCAACCTGTTTGAGGGCAGGACTATTGTTTATTATTCCTCACAACCCCAAATTACCTCAAAATGGTGCTATGCCTAATGAAGTGTTCAAAATGTATTAATCTGATTTGATTTGAAACACTAAAGTAAATGTAGACAGGATTAAAAAATTATAAGCACAAGAATTAAATTTATGTTTTTTATAGATAATGATATAACACAGCTTTTAAGTATGTTGTATAATAAGCTATCAAAAATGTCTAATAATGAATAGTTATGCATTGCATTAAAGAGGAAAAAATGAAAATGTGGAGATGATGCAGTGTGTGTCATTTGAAAATGCTGATAAAATCAAGTAAATTTTTCTTTATATCTTTTTACAACTCTCTTTGTGGAAAAATCCCTTTTTACCACAGCAACTGATTTTCAAATGAGCTATACCTTCAGACTAAGTTTAAGCAGTTATTGGTGATACTTATTCCCTTTCCATCAGCCTGCTTCAGTGATTCAGATCATTTAGTCTCTGTTTTAGTTCTGTTTTCCTCTGCGTCCTTATTTTTCACCACCACTATGTTAAGTCATTGTTCAAAAGAAAAATCCTAATTGAGTTTATCTAATCTAAAGCAGATTTAGATGACAAATAAGAGTCTACTACAATTTGTAAACACTCTCTGGTTCGAGAAACTCAGTTTCACTTTTAAACCCCCACAATTATGGCTGTACAATCTATCATCATCTATAGTATGCAAAGCCAGAATGTGATTACACATATTTTATAAAATGGGAACTGCTGAACAGCTAACCCACTAGTCATTTCCTAGTGAAAACATATTAGCGTGTGTGTGTATACATATATATCCATAACATATATTGTTGTATATATAGTAATTTCTTAATGACTGACTAAATATTTATAGTATTTCTCTCTTATGACACAATCTTCAGTTTCTCCAAGAGCTATGCTAAATTTAGGTAGATTTTAAAATAGAATCACTTCATTATACTCCTTTTTTAGTTGTCTTGGAAACAACATAATAACACTAGTAAGATGTTTTCCTCTAGAAATGAAAAATAAAACGTTTTGAAGATGTTTAAGGTGTTTAAAGTTCAAATTTGGAGGACAATATAAACTGAGAATTGATTGTAGATAATATGACAATTCATCAAGTGTTAAAAAGATTGGATAGATAGATAGACGATAGATAGATAGATAGATAGATAGATAGATAGATAGATAGATAGATAGATACCAGGTGCTGATGAATCTCACTATCGTGGATCTAATGGTTTTCCATTCAATTGTTTTAATTGCTGAAACAGATTTTCAGGTTGGAACTCATCAAATGTTGTATGCATGGCAATAGTAGCAGTATTTTCAAAGAAATCCCTAAATTCCTTATGGCGATGAAACATCTACTCTAATAGATCTCTTAATGCAACATTTTGCTTTGTGCATGATATGGATAACTTTGCTGAATTTCCTACACTTGGATAAGTACTAATGGCATTTCAGTTCTGCTCTCAGAAAATCAAGTGTTATGTGTTAATACATCAGAAATTTAATGGGGATTCTTCAAAGAAAACAATCATGGGGCAGAACACACCAGTTGTACTTCCTCTGAATGATGTGCCTTCAGAGTTTTGCCCTCACAGAGTCACCTACTTTGATTGAAGACATAATTCCAATATATGGTTTTGGTCTGATATGGTAGCTTTTTTCTTTGATTTCCACAGAACTGTGATCTGTACATTCTCAGAGGGTACTGAAGCTCCCTGAATATGCCCACTTCTTGAGACATAAAATAATTTAGATACTTATAAACTTAAAATTTTAAAAATATATGTACCTTCCAGGGTTGGGTCCTAGGTCAGCCAGTTTTCCCTATCAACTTTACTCCTGTAGGAGACCCATCCAGTGCCATAACTTCTAATGTCATCTGTACTAAACACTTGCCAGCCTTTATCTCTCTTCTCAGCCTCAAATGTATACGTCTCAATGTCTATTCGATTTCTCCATTTGGGTCTCAAAACATAATTACACTCTCATCTGCCTGTTGTCTTCCCATTTTCCATCTGCAGTCTTCCTCCTATCAATAACTAACATCTCATCTACTCTATTGATTACATTAACCTAGGAATTATCATTAATTTTCTTTCTATTGCTTCCCATATCTTACCATCAGCAAATCCTGTTGCTTCTTTTCAAAACACACCTCATTTGCATTGCTGCTACCCTAATCCAAAAAAATCTTCACTCATCTGGGCTAATTGTAGTAGTCTATTTAATGGTTTGTCTGTTTCTACTTTTGCTCCCTAATTAGCCATTCTGCACACAGCAGCCAGAGTGATCTTTTAAAATTCATGGCATCCTTCTGCTCTAAACCCTCCAAATGGCTTCCCATTGCACTTAGAGTAAAATCCAAACTCCATACAAGCCTCTACTTGATATAGTCACTGTCTCCATCTCCAATCTTATTGCTTATCTCTCTCACCTCCTTACTGCCTTTGCTCTAACCACACTATGGTTCTTTAAGTTACTGGAAAACACCAAACTTACTAGCACCCTTGAAGTTTTGTTGCTTTTCCTGTTACTTGGAACTCTCTGACCTCTGATATTCACATGTATGGCTTCCTCTTTTTATTCAGGTCTTGACCCAAATGTCATTTTTTTCAGAGAGACCTTCTCTTGCAATCCATCTAAAACTCTCAGTTCTCTCCATTTATCCACTGTTTTCTTTCTGCATAGCACTCTTCGTTTCCTGAATTTATCTTACTTGTATGTTATTTCTCTCTCCTTTAAAATAACTCTATTTGAACAGTGACATTTTTTGCCCTTCCATCACTTTATCTCCTACCCCTAGAAGAATGATTAGAGCATACTAGGCATTTATCCTGGGAAGGTATGGGCATGAGAAAGAGAGGGAAAGAGAGAAAGAAAGAGAGAGAGATTGTGTACAATATGATATTGAAGTGATTGACATTCAATGCACATTGCTCTTTTCTGGTTTAGGTAAATGCTGGTACACAAAAAAATTTTTTAGGCAAATCAGTTCAGAAGATTCTATTAGAGACATAAAATTTTTTAGTTGACTATTCTATAAAGTTTTGCAGTAAAGAAACTTATTTAATCATATTTAATCAAATGAACCCCAGAGTTAGTTGGCCTGGGAAAATTTTTATTCCCCCTTTAACATATTAACCTTTGGAAATGCTAATCTAAATCAGCATAGTATCCCACTTGGAAAATAATTAAAGTAACAAGAGGGAAATATCTTTTCAATGTTGTTTAAAATAAAGCCTCAATAAACAAAAATATATTTGTTTTTTGAGAATTTGATAGAGAATTAGAAATAACGGCATTGAGAAAAGAAAAAACAAAACATGCTAAAGAGAAAATTTAGTACACAACACATAAGTAACCAAGAGTAGAAATCCACAACACAATAACAATGGCAAAAAGGGGAAAGAACAAAGGAAAACACGGATACTTTCAAATAGTTCCAGATTTAGAAGGATATTATTGGGAAATTTTGAATGGTAAGTAACGTAGTCAGATAAAAAAGTATGGTTATCAGACTTGTTCTTTAGAAGCTCATAAGAGATGGGATAACATGAATATTCTGGTTATAGTTATGGAAAGTGACGTAAAACCAGAAATTGAAAGTTAAATAAGGGAGAGATTAAGGAGGTTAAACTGTGAAGAATGAGTCTGTGAAATATATATTTAACCCCAATACGGGGGTTAGTTTTTAAAGCTACTATTTAAAATAGCTGATTTTCAGCTACATAAAATTTTACCAACATGGCTGTAGTGCTCAGAACTTTCATCATATTTTTATACTTTGCTTTAAGGCTTAGATGAGAAGCAAATATGTGTATTAAAGAAAATTTTGTCATAGATAGGCAATGTATTTTTACTCCTAAAAGAAAAAAAATATATTTGAACCCTCCATGTCTCTGTATTGCTATCCACAGAATCACTGTTATATTTTTCAACCGCATTCCTGGAAGCACTGCAGATGTTAGATCAATTTTGAAAGCCAAAGTGTACCTCTGGGAATGACATGGCAGCAACTGAAATAGTATTTGGCCACATTAAGAGTGTACGCCAAAGATGCCAAAAATCACAGTAACCTGGCAGGTACGTAGCTATTATTTAACTGTATGATCATTACTGGTTTCTCTACTGAAAAACTATTATTGGCTGTTTATGCAGTGAAATCGAGCCCATGATTTAGGCAGATTATCTCTCTGTTTTAATGTCAGTACTGGCTGTTTGGAGATTGTACCCATTCACAAAATAGGATCTCTCAAGGAAAATATTTTAAAAAAAAAGCTTTCAACAAGTTATATTACCAGTTACTTAGAAACAAAAATGATCTAATAACAATTATTTTTGGCTACAGTTTAATATTCAGAATGGTGCTTGTATTCTGGACTACTTATATTTTTTTCTTTCTAGTACCAAACAGATTGGCTTGATCTTGGTGTTTATCGAAGAATATTTCAAATCTAAATGTTCATTCTATAAGACAACTAATAAGATAATAATTGTTTTAAATCATTTCCTCTGTATGCTCATGGTTCCTGGATCTCTGCTTCCTCATCTGCATGTCTGTCTTATGATCAGTGTTGTAAAATAGTTTAGAAAGAATTCTGTTCTCATAGTTCTTAAAATCCCAAATTGAGCAGAGTTGTCCACGTGCCTGAAACTATAGCATGTGTTCTTAAATTTAGGAGAGTTAATAACATGTATAAATAGTCTCCTTCTCTGTATCTATATTATTGTCCTCCTGATGGATAATGCTCACTGGATTACATTATATTTTAAAGTGGAAAAATGTGTTATCTTGAAAGTGCTGGAATTTTTCTATTTTATCATTTGAGGAAGGATTTCATACAAAAGACGTGTTACTTCAAAAATTAAAGAGGTTACTTCGAATTATGAACGTATTATCCTGAAAAAAAAAACATCGTATCACGATACAAAGTTTATTTCTTAAACTTATGATGTAAACAAATAATCCAATTAATCATATCTATATATAATGGGAAAAAAATTTAAATTTGACCTGTGTTTGTATCCTGCCTCTTCCAGTTAGAGTACAAGTATATTTGGTCAAATCACTTCTCTTAAATTTAGTTCTTTGATTAATAATGTAACTCTAATAACACCTAACTATGAAATGGTGTTATTTATAAAGAAATGCAAAAGAATTATTAGTATTATCATTGTCACTTCATCATCACAGATTTACATCATTATGATTGTCATCAAATTTAATGGTGTCCACAGAAGATTCCAGAATGCTCACATTCACAATCATACATGTAAATCTTAACCCACTATCCATGGTGTTAGAAGGCAATATTCAGAATTAGTATACCATCAAGTAGCAAATAAAATTGTAATTATTTTTATTTATTCTATACTTATAGTTGCCAAAATTTCTAAATAGCTACCATGGACAAATAAAAGAAGATACAGAAAGTACAAAATTTGAAAGATGCAAATGTTTGATTCAGGTAAAATAAATGACTGCTTGCTTCTAGGCTGTTTTATGATCAAGTTGAAATCACAGTAAAGGCTTTGGGACAGACACAAAAAATTGATGCTTTATATTGAAATTTAATCCCCAGTGTATCTTAGGTAATACAGTTACATCAGTTATAGAGCTGGACAAAGAAATTACATTGCTAGAATTATAATAAAATAATACTGATCAAAATAAATTACAATATAACAGAAAAATTAGCTTTGATATGCAGAACACTTTATGCCATTTGTGCTGAACAATGATAATCTAATGTAAAACTAGGTTATTAAATAACCCAGAAATTCTCTAATTAATACACAAATGAAAGTGTTCTTGACAGAATCAATGATCAGCATTATTGAGGGCAAGCTTCCAAATCTAGGAAGCAAAACTTATAAACAAACAAATAAAGCACACACATTTGGCAAATAAACCTGAATCCTTTATCATTCATTCAGTTTAGTTTTTGTGTTATATATTTTCTGAGTTTTGTATTGCTTTTGTGTGGTTTTGTATTTCCATAAGAAACACATTAAATACTATAATATAAATAACTAGGCTTGGATAGTCTGTGAATAGTCTGGTCTTTCATTCATCCATTCATCCACTGAGGAAACAAAAACGTCTTAGTATCTATTTTCATGGCATTTTAATACAAAAATAAATGTCATGGTTCTCTCTCTGTCTGTCTGTCTGTCTGTCTGTCTCTCTCTCTCTCTCTCTCTCTCTCTCTCTCTCTCTCTCTCTCTCTCTCTCTCTCTCTCGCTTGCTCTCTCAGCATATAGTGTCAAAGAAAAGTGTAATTTCAACTTTGAGACATTGACAAGGAAGGCTTTAGAGAGGAAAAACCACCTGTTCTAAGTTTCTTGAACCAGGTGTTGAAGCCCAACAAGGGCGTTTCCAAGCACGTAAGATGAGCTATTTACTCCAGGAGGAGGAGAAAATCATGCAAAAGGCCTGAGATAGTGAGGTGGGACAAGATATACGAATATGATAAAGACAAACAGAGAAACTAAATCATGGGACACACTGTAATTCCATTTACGGAGATTGGAGTTTAGACTATGGCTAATATAGTACCCTTGATGCTAATATAGCATTTAAATAACAAAAATAAAGGTTTTCAGTTTTGAAAATTCATATGAGAGCAGTAGGTCTAATGAATTGAGTGTGTGTTAGAGTAGAAGCAGAGACATGAACTAGGAGGTTACCACGTAGTTTTACAAGACTTAATGGGACCTATAATGAGCCTGTTAAATGAAGATAAACAAGAAAACGTGGTGAAAAAAATGGTAGGCTATAGTGATAATCTATTGCACGTGAAGTCAGGACAATGAGAAAAAAGACGGCCAGGTGTCTCTATGATCTCAGGTTTGAATAATAAACCTATCTCATTTTTTTATCCAAATCAGAAAATTTCTGAAAATGAAAGGGGACTCTAAAATAATCAAACTTTTATAATGTGAACATTTATTTCTTAATGAATTTGTTGGATTGTATATTAGTTAATATATAAAATACTTTCATTTAAAAACTAATTTTAAAAATAAAATTATGTGTATAGATAAAAATGTATACTTGTAGACTAGAAGTATTTTTAATAAAGAAATTTTTCTGTATTTTTTTTCTAAAGTACCTGTAAGCTCAGAGTTAATTCTGCTAAATGAATGATATTTTTTATTCTATGATTTTAATTGAAACATGTACAAATTTTAGGCCAAGTGATTTCACCCGTATGTCCTTTTACTTTTATTGCAAGTAACTTTTTTCAAGAAATATTTATATATAACAGAATTCATCAGATAAGATGTTCATATGATTCTTTCCTATGTCTTGTCAAACATAGAAGCTGCAAAAACAAATGCCTTCTCAATGCCTTCTCAATTTCATTCTATTCTGGTAGAAAATATGAATTTATTGAATAAAAGAAAAGAGAAGCTTCAAAAGTTTTTCTCAGAACACAACTTATTCTGTAGCTCAACTATAGATTTTAAAAGATAAATAATGTACCCTGTTAGAGTTTTCATCATCTGATTTTCCAAGTTACTTTTTTTATTTCTATAAGAAAAAAAAATTATTCTATTTCCAAGTTTTGGTTCAACAATTTCAGTTTTCTAAAAGTGTAATAATTGATTTTTTTGACAATTTAAAAAGGTTTCCAACAACAACAACAAAAATTTGGAAAAAGTGACCAAAATTTAGAAAACTTTTTCATAATATGGTTCAATACCATTGTAGGCACTTATATTGGTTTAAAGGTTGATTTTTAAAGGCTAAACATTTCTATAAATTTATTCATGATGGGCAGAAAAGAGAGAAAAGCCTCTTAATATGTGTGTTTGTGTATGTAAAGAAGCTATGTAAAGAAGCTATAATATATACTTTGGTCTATTAGACTGGTAAAATAGTACAGAGTTTTGGGGTATAATTATTAATTTTGGGTGTATACAACCAATTCCAAGTATATTTACACTTGATACATTTCTTAATTCAAAAGTAGTATTGCCTTTATTATGACTTTATGATCTATAAACATTTATATTTTTATTTCTCTAAAATCATATCATTTTAATTCTTAAGGTTGAAATTTTAACTATTTTAGAGTCATAATCACAGTAATCTTAGGTGTTTCACCATAGAAAAATTAACTTTTGTAAACTTTACTTAAAGTCCATGAATTAGATGAAAATATAACCCTGATTGGGATTTAACCTGATTGACTTTCTATTTGAAACAACTGTTAAGACTAATTTAAGCCACATGCATTTAACCATTTGCAAATTTCTTCTTTGGAAAATAGAGCCAATCCATGAATAGTTGTTGCTCTACCTTTTGTATATACACAAGAAAACTTGTGATGGAAAAAGAGTGAAATTAATTTAGAATAGTCATTTAATCTAAATGAAAAGTCGAATTTCACAGTGATATATAAACCCACTTTCAATAACTGTATTAAATCATGATCTACTAGAATAGTTCTTTTTTCAAAATTTTTAACTAAATGTTGTTGCTTCTGCAGATTTATGATTTTTTTCATGTGGTCTGTGATGTCACTATGGCCCCACATGATAAATGATAAATGCCAACAAATATATTTTGTAAGTAATAGATTTTTAAATTAAATTTCCACTTGGATTTTTTTGGGTTTTTTTTATTGCTAAAAGAGTTTATTTCAAAATGAAAGTTGCAGCAATCAGTGAAATAATTAGTTGTAAATATTCAGCATTAACTATAGGACAAAAATCACTATAGTGTGTTGAGGCTACCATATACTCTATGGCAGGAACTCTAAGCTTTTATTTCCTACATAGATTTCATGTACACTTAACCTATACTTTCCCACATTTCTTACAAACCCCACTAAACGGAGGGCTAACAACTTGGTGAAATTGTAGACCAGGGGACAGGACAGGCACAACTGGCGAGGCCACCAAATGGCCTGCAAGGGCCATCATGTCAAATATTTCTTCCACAACTACTTGAAACTAAAAGGAAATACTTTTCTGTTCTGCTCATGTCTAAGAACACTTTGTTTTATCATGCATATAATACTGTGTGTGGTTAACTTGTCTCTGAAAAGGATAAGGAAAAGATAGAAGTGTTAAAACTAGTCTTTTTTTTTTCAGATTAATTGCATGTTAAAGTGAATAGTCTATTTACTTAATTGGTTCTCACACACTACTAGATGACAGCATAATAGAACCTAGAAGTAAAAAAACGGAGTTTTGCCAAACCCAGATTATTTTAAGGCAATTATTAATAATCATACTTCTTAAAAATGAAAAATATGTTGAAAAGTTGTGGCAAGTACTAAACTGATTAGGATGCAGAAACAAGGATAAACTAGCGCCGGATTAAGCTAACCCATTGGTAAAGTCACCCTAGAGGTGGGGGCTGGTCCATTAACTGACCCAGGAGAAAGAGAGTTTTAACTTTTGGTGATGAGTTTGACTTGGGCAAGCTCAGTTATTGATGACTGTAGTACATCCAGGTGGCAGGGCCCAGGAGCTCTCTGAAAGCATTACCTTGGAGTACAGGAGAGTGGTGAAAGGTAGAAATGGAAAATTGGCAGTTTGGGCATGTGCATAGTAATTGAAACCATGTGAGATGAGAGATAAGGTAAAACATTTTTAGCACTAATATCTGTTGAGCATTTTATTGGCAGTTTCTGGGAATAGAACCAATGGCCTTTGTATAGACATTGACAACAAAGGACAGAACATAATGTTATTACTTTACTCTAAACAACTTGTGTATTAGTTTCTTAAAGCTGCGCTAACAAATTACCACAAACTTGGTGGTTTAAAACAACAGAAACTTATTCTCTAGCAGCTCTGGATGCCATAAGTCCATAATAAGTATAACTAGGCCTGGATCAAGGTGTGAGTGTGGCCACATTTCCTCTGGATGCTCTCAGGGAGAATTAGTTTCTTACCTCTTCCAGCTTCTGGAGGCTGCTGACACTTCTTGGCCCATGGCCATGTCACTCCAGTGTCTGCTTCTGTCATCACATTGTTTACTTTTCTTCCTCTGTAGTACAGCCTCCCTCTGCTTCCCTCTTATAAGAATACATGTGATTGCATTTAATGCCCACTCCGATAATCCAGGATAGTCTCCCCATTTTAAGACCTTTAATTTAATCATATCTAAAAAGGCCTTTATTTCAATCAATGTAAGGTAACATTCACAGGTTCCATGGATTCGGAGATGGTTATTTTTTTTTTGGAGGGGGGGAGGTTATTATCTCCCTACTACAACTTGTATTTATCTAATCAATATCAGTCTGTGAATTATTCGTGCTATCTCTATCATCACCCCAAATTTGGCAGACTTGGTACAAAAAATGTAATGTAAAATATCACATACCTTTTTTATCGATTATGAATTGAAATAACATTTTGGATATATTGTATTAAATAAAATGTTATTAAAGTAATTTCACTTTTTAATTTTTTTCAATGTGGCTACTAAAAAAATGTATAATTGCATATGAAATTAACATTAGATTTCTATTAGCGCTCTTCTAGAATGTGTGTGATTCTAAATATCTTCACCTTATAGGAAAATTGATGTTTTCTTACAAATAAATAATGAAAATTCCTGAAAGCTGCACACCAAGTTAATTAAAAGCTCAATTTTATCCTACAGCTGTTCTTTGCTCCTTTGTAATCCATACTTACTCAAATTAGTATGGTTACCTTTCTTCATTTCTTCGTTTCACAGAAACAGACCAAAAGCACTTCACGTGAAATTACTGACCACCATGGCTCCTTCAGGTTCTGTTAATCTGGATTCGAGGCACCTGAGAGCCAAAGCAAACCGCAAGAGGCGCAGCAGCTCACCCGCACATCGCACAGAAGCAGCCTCGCATGGTGTGTGCCAGTCCAATTGGCAATCTCTTAGCACTGAGAGGAAATAATGTAATTTTGAGGAGTTAGGCATTTTCTTCAAAAGAAGACAGATTCTAAATGGTGAAGGTGGTGAGGAAATAAGTGGGAAATGTTTACGGTAGGGAGGCATCCAACGGGGAATTTATGGGAACGGAAAAGTCTTCCAAATAAGGAGGCTTGAGATTTGAGAGCAGACCTGTGTGTAGGTTTGAGGGAAGAATTGAGGATGAGCGATCAAAGGAGAAAATCTGGGAGGTTCTCAGCAGTGAAGGTCTGTTGAGAGGGAGAAGACACTATTGACCAAACCTCTACTGTGTGCTGGGTAACTTCTTACGTGTTGATCAAAATACATTTATAATGTTCATGTATGCAGGCCAAACATTTGAAGTGCAGAAAGATTAAACAATTTTCATTTTCATTTCATTTCAATGAAATGAAATCATTTCATTTTCATTTTACCCAGGACCTTTAAGGACTCAATACCTTTTCTTCAAATATTAGCATTCTCCTCACTTCATTGGATGCTTCCAACCATGGGTTCTGCAATAGTTATTTTATTGATGCACTTTCCTGGCACACTGTTGGTCTCTGATCACTTAAGCATTCAATCTACAGTAAGTACATATAAGTACAAAAGATGACAGAGTAACTGTTGGAGATGAGGTGAGAGAAGAAGAAAATCCTATGCTCTATCAGACTTAGCCCACCATACATTTCCAAAGTCCAAATATAATCTTTATTCTTGATGTTCTTTGGCAGTGTCCATTTATTAACTGCTCAAAGTTTTCCTTATTCTAATTTCTCAATATCCTTCCTTACTTCAAGCTGTTAATCTTGCCTTTCATTTAGCCAAAAATCAAGACATTTGGGCCAGGCTCTCTCATTTCACCACATTTCAACCCATCACTGTCTCTACATACAGACCTTTTCATCCTTCTCTGAATGAAGTCTGAGGGAGAAAAATGCTACAAAGTGAATATCTTTAAGCTCTATCAGAAATCCCTTTTTGTTTTCTTAAAATGGTAACTGTAATTTTTACTTTTCTTCTGTTATCTTTAATTTCTCCTTTATTGATTCTTTTTTATGTCCTGATCATGGCTAACATTTTTTTTAAGTTTTGGTAAATCAGTAGGAAAAATAAATTATAGTTATTCTTTAAATTAACCTTTATGAATCATGGAAATGAAATTTTAAATATTGAGCAGTTATTTCATTTCCTACCCAGTGAATTGTCTTTTAAACATTATGCTGCAGTTTTTATTTATAAATTAGTGTAAATTTTGCATTTTTAAAAAAGCTCCTTTATGAGTTAACATTAAACATTTGTCTAATATATTTATGACAAGAACTTTTCAATTTATTGTATCTTACTGATGTCCAAAAATGGCAGACATTTAAAAGTTATACAAATTTAAAAGTTAATTTTATGCATCAGATGGGTCACTATTTCCCTTTGTGATATCTTCAAATGCTTCTATACTTAGTGTTACTTGCTTTCTGTATTTCAGGTTATATAGTTCTGTTTTTATTTTATTTAAAGTTTTGAATTCATATAGAATTATTTCATAATAATACCAGTTTATTATAAGTGTACAAAATAGCAAATCATCTAACTTTTTCAGTTTAATTCCTACTCCATGTCATTAATTTAGAAGGTACAATTTTCCAAAATTAAATAAAAATTGACAATCTTACTGATTCTTTCTATTAGATGATATGCTTAGTAAGGATAAGAATCATGTCATATTTGTATTCTTACCATATAACATAAATGTTAATGCATTATTTAGGACTATCTATAATACATAATAAGCTTTCAATAAATGTTTACTGAATTGGAATACAAAATTGGGTTATCATATTAAGACAATGTCATGGTAATTATTTTGTTAATATAATACTTTGCAGTGTCTTTTTAAAATCATACTCTTAACCAAACCAACTTATATATCATACAGTTGTCATCATTCCTTATTTCTATATTCTTTCTTTTTTTCTATCCAGCTTCTGATGATGTTAGCAATCTCTGCTTCTCTTTCTAGAATCAGCTGCCTGATTTCAAAGGGATGTATTTGCTCTGTGTCTCATTCTTTCTGACCACTTTGAATGACCACTCATCTTCACTCCCTAGGACTTCCTATCTGCATGAGCTTTTCTGTAGGACTGGCCGTATCCATTCACAAATATGACAGCTGTCACTCCCTTTACTTTCAGTGAGAAAAACATGAAAACGTAGGTGCTTGGTTAATTGTTTATTGACCATATATTTTATTTTATGAGAATCATTTTGAGTAATTCTAGCTCTAGCAAAGACCAGAAGGGTTCAGAGATTCCTAATAAGAAATTATTACAAAGGTTGCATTCATTAAAGAATAGAACTCCATAGTTGATACATAAATTATTAAGAAAAACAGAAAACAAGAATGGCAATGGAAGAAATGCAAACACATGTCCTGGTTTTATTTTTCTTAATAGAAAAATAGAAAACAGATTGCTATGCAGTCAGATGATCAAACTTTCTGGATGTAGATTGTGTTTGTAGTTTAAAACTTCCTGAAGCAGATGTAGAAGATGGATAGGAGTGACAGATAGTCAGAGATGAATGCAAGAAACTGACAAGACAATTGTATGAAAATCTTAATAGAATAAAATTAAGCATCTAGGTTGCCTTCTATAATTTCTTTTTTTAAAGACATAGACTTGAAGAAGAAATAGATGTACATGTTGTTTTAAGGCCAGTGATGAGAAAAATAATGAGCCAGAGACTCATTAAAAACTTTTACATGTGGCTATCTAGTTTTCCCAACACTATTTGTTGAACAGCCTGTCGTTTTCCTATTGAATGATTTTAGCACCAAATAATTTGAACATATGTGTGAGGGTTTATTTCTGGGATGCTCTACTCTGTTCCATTGGTTTATAAGTCTGCCTTTACACTAGTACCACACTGTTTTGATTATTATAGCTTTGTCATAAGTTTTAATATCAGGAATTACGAGTCTTTCAAGTTTGTTTTTCTTTTTCAAGATTGTTTTGGCTACTCAGAGTCCCTTGAGATTCCATATGAATTTTAGGATTGACTTTTCTATTTAAAAAAAAAAAAACATCACTGGGATTTTGATAGAGACTACTTGAACCTATAGATCACTGTGGGTGCTTGATATCTCAAGAATATTGAGTACTCCAATGTACAACATGGGGTGTGTTTCTATTTATTTATATCTTCTTTAATGTTTTTCAGCAATATTTTATAGTTTTATTTTACAAGTTTATTACCTCATTGCTTAAGTTAATTTCTACATATTTTATTTATTGTGATGCTATTATAAATGAAATTGTTTTTGCAATTTCCTTTTCAGATTGTTTATTGATAATGTATAGAAAGTCAACTGATGTTTTCTTAAGGCCATCTATTTTGTTCTTATTTAGATTATTTTGTTAGGAATATAAACTAAAAAAAAAGAAATCTGAAGAAGTTAGGACACTTATAACACATAAGAATATAAAATAGTAAAATGTATTCCATAACTAATGTCTATACCAGATAAATTTTAGGGAATAATAGAAGCTGATTTCAAGGAAACATTTTTAGGGATATCTTCAGTCATTAGAAAAAAATATACAAAGCAACAAAATAGCCAACTTGTTTCATGATTTGGAGAAATTCAGTCTCAAATACTTAGTTTAAGCACCATATGTATTTTATTCTCCTACATAATAATATCATATAAAGAAAAAAATGGCAAAAGTGCTTATATTTAGATTAAGGATACATTATGCAAGCTGACCAAATTAATTACTTTACAGTCCCGATATTTTTGGTTAGGAGTTAATCTGTATACATTTTAATGTATAAATTGCTTGACTATAAAAGTACCTACCAATATTCTTAATCCCTTAGATTCCCAGTGGCTTTGCAGTAATTAGCAAGAAGATATTTGTTGTTTCTGTACACAGTGGCTCTTTCTCCCATCCTTTAACAATTGGAATTAAAGAGATGTTCATTCATTCTGAGCACTTGAGCATATGGTTTATACCAGGCCAATTAATAATTTTTATAAGCAAAGTGACTTTAAGACTTTCTAAGATCATTTATTTCAAGGCATATTTTACAAAGATTACTGACTTTTTTACCTATATTAGTTATGATAGCTATTCAACTATAAATTGTATCACTGACACAATGATTTCATATTTCTAATCTCAATTATGTAATTATACAGTAAAATCTATTTCTAAAGTCATTTATAAAAAAAGTCAACTGATTCTTATGTTTTGACTTTAATCCTACTACTGTGTTGAACTCATTTATTCATTCTAATAGTTTTTCCTTGTGAAACATTTAGGATTTTATACATACAAGATTTCAGTATCTGCAAACAGATCATTTTACCTCTTCCTTTTAAATTTGGATGCCTTTTTTTTCCCCCTCACCTAATCGCTCTGGCTAGAACTTCCAGTATTACCTTGAATAGAAGTGGCAAAAGTGGACATCCTTGCCTTGTTATGATCTTTGAAGAAAAGCTTATAGTATTTTATAATTGAGCATGATGTTTACTGAGGTTTTTCCTACATGATTTATATTATATTGAGGTGTTTTCCTTCTCTTCCTAGTTTGTTGAGTGTTTTTATTATGAAAGGGTGTTGAATATTGTTAAATGCTTTTTCTGCATCCAATGAGATGATCATGATTTGTTTGGTTTTGTTTTATCATCATTTTATTAATGTGGTATTGACACTGATTTTTCATGTTGGACCATCCTTGCATCCCATTAATAAATCCTACTTGGTCATGTTGTGTAGTCCATTTAATAAGCTGTTGAATTTGGTTGGCTAATATTTTGTTGAGTACATTTATATTCTGTTCACAAAGGATATTTGTCTGTAGTTTTCTTTTTTGGTAGTGTCTTTGTCTGGCTTTGGTATCAGGGTAGTGTGGGCCTCACAGAATGAGTTAGGAATTGTTTCCTTCTTTTTCATTTCTTCCGGGTTTTTTTGAAAAGTTTGAGAAGTATTGGTACTACAGTGCCCCCTCATTTGCAGTTTTGTTTTCCATAGTTTTAGTTACCTGCAGTCAACTGTGGTCTGAAAATAGTAAATGGGAAATTCTAGTAATGAAAAATTTATAAGTTTTAAATTCTATACCATTCTAAGTAGCCTGATGAAATCCCCCATTATCCCATTTTGTCCCATCCATGATGTGATTTATCCCTTTGTCCAGCATATGCATGCTGTATATGCTACTGTCCCATTACTCATTTAATAGAAATCTTGGTTATCAGATCAGTTATAGAGAGGCAGACAACATTCAGATAAATTTTAATACAGTATATTGTTATAACTCTATTTATTGTTAGCAATTTTTTTCTCTCATTAGGCCTAATTTATAAATTAAACTTTATCAAAGATATGTACATATAGGCAAAAAAATAGTATATATCCATGGTTTCAGATATCCACTGGGATTCTTGGAACATATTTCCTGTGGATAAGGGGAAGCTACTATATTAGGTTTTTAAATATTTGGTAGAATTCACCAGTG